CTCCAAATTTAAACAGTAGTTATGAAATTTGGGAAAGGTAGTCTAATCTTTCATCACTGGTTTTATCTCTTGGCATTTCACAATTCTTTGTGTGTTTTTATTTTCCATCAAGTATTTCTTGCTCAGTAAAAATTGGCAGACCTCAGGTTTTATGCTATCTAGATGTTATCATGAATGATAGTGGTAGATTTGGAAATAGAGAAATCAAACTTCAAACATCAGGACAAGCTGGAGTTAATGAGGGAGATAGAAGGTTGGTGGCTTGAGGATACTCTTCTCCTTTTAAGTAAACACTTTGGCCTTTGAGATAGTGAGTTGAAAAAAAAGGTCTGAAGATATTCTTAGTTGAGATGGGCAGGGAATGTGAATAAAGAAGAGACATGAAAAGGTGGTGAAAAATATGTCGAGTTGAATATCATCATCTCAAGTGGTAGCTTTGGTAAACTAAACTATAGATAGGATGAAAGAGAGGTAGAGAAAAAGAAAACAAAAATTGAGTTTGCTGTTTTCTTAGAATTGAGGCAACATAAGTTCTGAATGCTGCAAACAGTACAGTATATTTCGCATGGACTAGTGTTTTCAGTTGCTTCGTATGCATGTGAAAGCTGGACAATGAGTAAGGAAGACCAAAGAAGAATTGATGCCTTTAAATTATGGTGTTGGCGAAGAATATTGAAGATACCATGGACTGCCAAAAGAACGAACAAATCTGTCTTGGAAGAAGTACAACCAGAATGGGCCTTAGAAGCAAGGATGGCGAGACTATGTCTCACGTGCTTTGGACACATTATCAGGAAGGACCAGTCCCTGGAGAAGGACATCATGCTTGGTAAAGTAGAGGGTCAGTGAAAAAGAGGAAGACCCTCAGTGAGATGGATGGACACAGTGGCTGCAACAATGGGCTCAAGCATAACAACAATTGTGAGGATGGCACAGGACCAGGCAGTGTGTACATAGGGTTGCTGTGAGTTGGAACCAACTCAACGGCATCTAATAACAACAAAGGGTAGATTTTAAATGTGTGTTGTTCATAGGTATATGGCATTTATATCTGATTCTACGTATATAATGATTATGTGTTAGACCATAGACATAGACATACTGAATCATGTGGCACATTTTATGAGCTGTGTCTTTTCCACATAAGTGAAAATGTAGCCAAAATCCTTGAAGCCTCTGGCATACCTTGAAGCAGGACTTAATGCTGCTAGGTAATAGAATGGCTGCACAAAGAATCTGGAGCTTTTGGGTTCTACAGGGATTTTTGTTACGGAGGTTCTGTTTCATAGGGTGCAAGCAGTCTTGTAGCAATAGGCATTTCAGCATAAGACACAAACCCGTACTTCACACCAATTCTTCTTTACCACTTAGGAGATAAAGAAAATAGGAATTTTTTTTTTTTCCTCCAGAGGTTGCATTTATAAGGTTAATAGTCTTTCCCAACTTTTCTAGTAGTGTGTATGTCTTTTCCACTAAACACCCAGTCTGTTAAGGTCTTATTTTTACTTTGTTGTGAGGGAATCTTGGGATCATAGGTAGTGCACGTTGTCTTGAAAATCATTCGTTAGCATAGATTTTAATGATTACTTTTAGGTTTTCTAGTCTTCTCCTATTCATTCCTTGTTTCTGACTCTGATCTTTATTTTCTCTGTTCTTTATCATCAGTTTTCCACCTTTATAGCCTTCAATTCAAAAACAAGCTGCTTTATTAAGCTCTCTCTTAGGTCCACGAAGGAAACGCATCTTCCGTGGTGCTTCTGCTTTTGTCTTCTGCCTCCCCCTGATAGCTGCATAACAGCGGCTGAGGTCTGCTAGGTACACTAGCAGCTGAGTCTTGAGTCACCCCTCCAGCCCATCCTCAGTTGTCCTAACATGACTCCGCTTTCTAAGATTCAGCACTGGAATCACCCATGTTTGTCTGACCTTATCTGCCTTACTACTCCTGCTCCAGGATATTCCAGGAAGTAGTCCATAGTGCATGGGGGTGGAGATGATCTTGCATGGCCTAGAGGAGCCACAGGAAGAATAAAGGACAGGAGGGCTGAGCTGGGAAGGACTTCATTGCCCAACTGTGTTCTGATTCCTCTTGTACAGGTGCGGGAAGTGAGGAGGTGTCATCCAGCAAACTGATGTCTCATTGAATCTAACTCCCAAACGTTAAGGAATAAACCTCAGAATTGGGGAAAATTCGCTCATTTGTATTTTAGCCAGGAGATTGGCATATTAGATTTGTGTTTTAATAAGTTGAGTTTGGTTTCAGTATGGAGAATAGACTGGAAAGGGAGCCACTGAAGACAGGATAACTGGCCACTGAGGGAAAAAATTGAGATGAGGAAGGCCTAAACTAAATGACTGAATTATGGGTGAAGAGCAGCAGTGGATTTAAGATGTTTAAGATGTAGAGTATTTAAGATTTGTTGCCTGCTCAAATGTGAGAAGAGGAGGGAGAGGGGTTAGAACCAGGTTTTGAATTTTGATGACTGGTTGGAGAATGATGTCAAGAACTGTAAGGGGCAGCATAGGAGCAGGACAGAGGACATCCTCTGGACATAGCCTTAAAATACTATAACCAAGTAAAAAACATTTTGGCCAGGATTAAGCTAATGTAGTTCATGAAGTTGGCAGACATCCTAGTGATCTTACTGGACATGAGGACAGAATGAAAATACCTGGAGGAGTGGATGGATCATAGCATGTCCCTTTCTTACGACCCTTCAGGCAAACTTTTGATAAAAGTTGAAATGAACAAGTCAAGGTTATATCTGGAACATTTTTGTTCTGTCTTGCTGCTGTCCCAGGTTTACCCTCCTGTGAAGTCGACTGTACTGCTAGGGTTATGGTATCCCTCAACATGGCTCTTTATTTCTCCCCCAGGTGTGAAAAGTTTGTGCCATTGTAATATACTGTCTTAGAGAATAGAAGTATGATTGTACTTCTCACCCAGTTCTGTTCCTTTCTTGGTAGGCAGCCCTGCTATCTAAGCCTTAGTCCATCACTTGTCTATTCCCAGAGCTCCTCCTACTTCTTGAGTTGGGGAAAAGCAGGTAGCTCTTCTGGAGTAATCCTTTATTATGTTGTAGTTTAGAGTACAGCCTCTAGGGTCAAACTGACCTGGGTTCAAATCCTAGCTCTGCTACTTACCAGCTGTGTTATCTTGGGCCGGTACTTTTAAATAATTCCCCATCTGTAAAATGGTGCTAATAGTATACCTATCTCTTAGAACTGATGTGAGTTTTTATTAGATAATGCATGTGAAGCATTTGGCGTAGTTCTGGGCATATAAGAAATGTCCAGTAAATATTACCTTTCACTTGGTATTTTTTTAATTGTGTACTTACAGGCTGATTAGATAAAATTTATCTTTTGAAGATTGTATATAGTTGGAAGTTAGTAACCATTGGCTGATTTTCCTGTGCATATAGGAATTTGGAACTGTGATAAACTTAGTGACATAAAATTTAAATAGCCAGCTATTTTTGATGAAATAATTTTTAATTTTTTTTTGTTGTGTGTATGTTTTTTTAAGGTGTGTAGAAAATAGTTTGTGAATAAACAAATAAGCCAACATAATTTTATTTGGCTAAACCTGGGTTTTTGTTACTGTTAGAGATGAGGGAAAGGATGAAGATAATTCATTTCACACAGGAATAAGCAAAAATATGAAAATATTTTGAGGATTGATATAATCCAGATATATTAGTAGCTGACAGTGAATAAGGAAGACCGAGGAATTGATACCTTTGAATTATGGTGTTGGCAAAGAATATTGACTATACCACGGACTGCCAAAAGAAAGAACAAATCTGCCTTGGAAGAAGTACAGCCAGAAAGCCCCTTAGATGCAAGGATGGCGAGACTTCATCTCACATACTTTGGACAAGTTATCAGGAAGGAGCAGTCCCTGGAGAAGGACAGCATGCTTGGTAAAGTAGAGGGTCAGTAAAAAAGAGGAAGACCCTCAACAAGATGGACTGACACAGTGGCTGCAGCACTTGGCTCAAGCATAACGGTGATTGTGAGGATGGCTCAGGACCGGGCAGTTTCATTCTGTTATACATGAGGTCGCTATGAGTTGAAACCGACTCAACGGCCCCTAACAACAACAACAATGTTTTGATACTGAAATTAGGATAAAAAGTTAGGCTTCATGTTTTCTGATTGATTTTCCTTGTTTTCAAAATCATATTAATCCATATGTAATTGAATATGAATTTACAGTAGTGCATGAGAAATGAGATTTTATTGCTAATTAGATGTTTTCTCACAGTTGGGGATGGTTAGTGAAATTGGATGAGAAGCTGATGTTTCAGTGTTTCCTGCCAGTCTTCCTATTCCTCAGTTTTCTAAGCCTAAATGTGTTTTGCAGTCTAACATGGATGGTTATTTTCAATGTCCAAATGTCAATTTGAAGACTAGTCCTTACTCGTCTCTGAAGTCTAGAAGTGTGGAAAGCACTTGTTTAACCTATGTACTCATGTACTGTGGTTACTTAAAGTTGCTAGAAATTGTTTACTTCATTATGTGAATTTGGATATATCCCCAAACAATTTTATCCATCTGTGTGATGCCATTCACATGCAATGATTTGTTGTTACACACCTTCCTCTGGAGTAGAAGCTTCCTTCTTTGATGATGCTTAGTCATAGTCACAGGTGATTTGAGTTTGTGCTGAACTAGGAATCAGAAGAGGCAAGTGTAGTTCTCTGCTACCTGAGGTGATCTCTTTACTGGAACTCTCTGGGCCTATTTTCTCAGTCAGAGTTTTTGTCCTCTCTGTTGCGGAGGATTATTGTAAGTATCAAATGAGGTGGAGTGAAAGCTTTGGATACTCAAGCATGATACAGATGTAAAGTGTGGTATTTTTCTAAGTTAGGCAACAAAAAAACACAAATGTACAACAAAAAATGAAATTTTGTTTCTAGTAAATGACTACTTTCATTGCAAGCTAACTAAGGAAATGAAATAAACATCTTTATTTTCTCTATTTTCCAACCTACCAGAACCGGGACCAGTATTCACACCTGTTGAGTGACCAGATTCTGCCTTACCAAGGTCATAATTCCTTTCGTGAGAAATATTTCAGTGGGATAACAAAAAGAGTTGCCAAGGAAGAAAAGACCAGCCAGGAGTGAAAATTAAGATTTCGACAATGAAGAAAGAATAAGGATTTCATGGAAAAGACATCTGGATGTGAACTTTCATGTATGATCCAGAAAACATGTACTTTTAAAAATGATTTTATTAAAAAAAAAACTACAAAGTAAATTGAGCAGTCCTTTTAAAGTTAGCTTTGTTTTATAGAATATTTTATTGTATGTGGTTTTTTGAAATTTATTTAATTTATATTTGTACTTTCAAGTATTAATGGAAATTAACACAGTTATATTTTTTACCCTTAATTTACAAAGGGAATAATTGTTGCCAGCTTTTTAAACAGATATCTGCTGGGTGTGTTATAGGCAGTTACTAGAAGTTGAGAATTATGCATTAGGTAGATTTGTTTAATTTGGTTTTTGATTGTAACTGATTTACATCGCCACTAATAAAGCTTACTGAGAATTCTTAAAAGCATGTGATATTGAGTGCTTTTCAGGGAGGTTGTGATGAATTTAAATGAATTTTTATTTATAAATTTCAGACAAGTTAGTAATAACAGTGATAATGGTGGCGATGAGAAAAAACTAGGACCTGACAACCTAAAAAGATTCCAAACTCCTTGAGGCCTGGTTATGTCTGAAGCTCTTCTGTACCTTGGATTTGCTTTTGCATTCCTAAACCTTGACTGTTGGTCAAGTTAACTACCCACAATTTTTGGTTTAGAAAGTAACTGATAGTTAAAACAGTAACAGCAACACAAATCCTTGATGGTTCCCTAATGGTATTAAGCCCAATCAGTGCTCTTTGAAATAGAAGCAATATTTTTCTTGAAGGAGAAACTTTGCTGAGTCTGCATTGTATCCATCATGAAAATAGCTCATTTGAAAACCATCTACCCATTAATTCAGGATGCTAATAGCTTTCCTGCCTTCAGTGGTCAAATGTACCTCAGCAGAGCAGTGGTAAATGGATCCTATCCCTCTAATGAGAGCCTATTTTTATTTATGTTATTATTATTTTAATTTCTGTTGGCTTTTATGGACTCACGATATTAACGTGCATGGGTTAGGACCTCCAAAAGACCAGTGCTGCCCAAGCAAAGGGCAGGCTGTCTGCTTCGTCCTCTCCTTTTCTTGTCCTGCAGCTCTGGGTTTCAGCAGCAGATCTCAAACATGTCAGTGATTGTTTTGTTTGGGTTTCTGGATGTGATTTGTGGTGCACTGGGGAAATCTAAAAGTATTCAAGGATGATTTATTTTCAGTATTTCTGTTATAAACCATCTTCTGTAAAATTTTTTGAGGTTATATGGGGGGTGAGTTTGTAACTTTGTAGCTGACTAAATTTGGAATATGAGATTTTAGTTTAGCCCTTTTTCTGTTGTCACAAAGATTAGTCCAAGTAGTTCTGGAAAAAAAAAAAATGGTTTTAGTTACTTTGTTTTTGAAAATTATCTAACATTAAAAAAAAAATCAAATTATTTTGTGTTACTGCTAATCAAGTCTTCTGATCTTTAATTTGTCTAATTATTATGAGACTTATTTTCATATTGGTAAGTTCAGTCTCCTATTCCTAAAATGTCACTTGCAGTCGAATTTGATTCTAGATAGAGTAAAGGTCTCAAACCCTGTTTTTCTAAAAAGAGAGACATTATCAGGGTCCTATTACCTTTTACATAAGTTACAGGAGATCATTTCCAGGATTGCTTTAATTTTACATGCGACCCCTGTATTCCTCATGTACTTGCCAGCAGAAATATCACCTAGCAAAATGCCAGCATTTCAAATAGCCCTGTAGTTTGAATTGACAGTGTAATCTGTGAGGGAACCCTAGGTGGTCTGTGGGCTGGTCTCTTCAATGTTTATAATATGACAAAATCCATAATTTGGTTTCTGGCAAATATTAAATATCCATAAAATCCAGACGGTTACCTTGGTGGTGTTTCATCAGAAGTAACCTCCTTCCTATTCATTCTGGTATTTTTTTTTTTTTTTTTTGCTGTAACAGCTGGGAGGGAATAGTGGAGTAGGTGGTCTTTGGTGTGTTTAGCCAAAGTGGCCAGCAGATGAAAAAAGTTTAAAATCTAGGACTACAGATTTCTCAGCCACTTCCTGCCCAGGGTGACCCAGCTTTCAGCTAGCTCACCACTAACTTCCTCATGACTAATTCTTTAAATGCAAGAATTAAGCAATAAAACATTTTCATACTGTCTAAGCTTTGGGAGATAAGCCTGTGTGACCACTATTTCCTTGTTTAAAAACGTAACTCAAAATTTGAAGATTTCCTACACATATAAGAAGGATGGTGATTAAAACTAAAAAGAATCTTATTTCTAGTTTGGTAGAGGAAAGTAGAGTATGAGTTAACATCACCAGATGCATAACAGGGAATATGTTTGTATTATCGGATGAAAAATGTGCTTTAAAAGCAGGGCTTGAAAAGGTTCATTAGGGTTAGCACCCCTGCTGAAAATTTGCATTACTAAGAAGTTCCCAGGTGATGCTAATGCTGCTGGTTAGGGATTATTAGTAGAGCAGCAGTTCTCAAAATTTATTATACATGACGATCAGACTGAATCAGAATCTACAGTTTAACTAGATCCCTAGGTGATTCTTATGTATAATAAATTTTGAGAACCACTACTCTACTGGAGTCCTGGTGTTGCAGTGGTTAAGAGCTCAGCTGCTAACCAAAAGGTCAGCAGTTCAAACCCATCAGCTGATCCCTGGAAACCAAGGGGCAGCTCTGCTGTGTTCTGTAGGGTCCCTGTGAGTCGGAACGGGTTTGGTTTTTTCTTTTTTCTTTTTTCTTTTGGCTGCTCTACTAGTGGAGCCCTGGTGGCACAGTGGTCAAGAGCTTGGCTGCTAACCAAAAGGTTAGCAGTTCGAATCCACTAGCTGCTCCTTGGAAACCCTATAGGGCATTTCTACTAGTGGTTCTCAGAATTGGTCCCTACTCCCTAACCAGCAGCATTAGTATTGCCTGGGAACTTGTTAGAAATGCAGATTATCAGCAGGGGTTCTAACCTGAATGAACTGGTTTCAAAGCCCTGTTTAAAAGTTTGAGACATGAAAATAGATTTTTAGGTAATATGTTTTATACTCTTTATACAACGTACATTTTAAAAGTAGGGATTTGACTTTGTTTTTAACATCAGGAAATTAATTTGATATTAAGGTTGTGTTATCTAGATGCCAGTATGAGCAAATCTGGCTCTTGAATCAAAGGCCTTAGTCGTTTTGGGTTGGAAGGACTGCTGACATCCTATTCCGGAAGAATTATCAAATACTGTTGATCAGAGAGATATGGAATAAAATATAATGTTTATGTGTTGAAAATTAAAGTGACTTTTTAAAAAACAGTTTTCTTTCTATACCATTTTAATAAATCTCCTTTGAAAAAGCACAGTGGAACTAAGCTGATGTTAGTAGTTCTAATAGAAAAGAAATCCTTTATAGATAAAACAGAGTATAAGTAAATAAATTCATTAATGGACCCTAAGGATGGAAGTGAAGGTGGGTGTTGCTGAGGAAATTGGTGACCTTATTGTTGATCTTCCTGTTTCACTAAAAAGGAATAAATTATACCAGAGTAAGGGCCTTGGATCTTTTTTCCAAGAGCGTGATTTTGCTCCATTATAAAGCTATTTAGAAAACTAAACACTTGCAAGAATCCGTTTTTCTTAGAAGGATTGTATTCATAGAATAAGCGAAGACTACTTTTACTTCCAATTCACCTACTCCCATTTTTCTCAAATATTTATTAAGTAATGCGGTTTGTAATCCAAACAAACAAAAAGTGCCTTCATCCAGAACATACCCATGGATGCAATAACACTAGACCGGTGGTGTTTGTACTTTACTAAAACATTGAGATATTCTCTAAAACAGAGTGGTTTGAGAACATAAGGTCTAGAGTGTAAAGAATTGGAATGATAAACATATCTGTGATTCTATCTAGCCATGGGATCATAGAGGCAGCACATTCCTGTCTATCCTTTGGGGTGAAAAAGCTTACTAGGGAACCTGACCCTATTGCCTTAACAGAGGGCTGCCTCGGGATGTTCGTATGTTTCACTGTGTGGGATAAGCAACTTGACATTTAGACAAAACTGAGGCCAACCTGGAATTTGGCTCTTATTCCTTCCTTCGTAAGCCATTGTAGATGGGATCTTCGGGGGATGGAGGTTAAATTGTCATGGCAGTTTCTTAAGAAGCCTGGGTCATGGAACAAAATGGTGCTTAATAGATGAATGTCAGGATAAGCCAACTGCCCTTATGTAACTGCTAGCCCTATTTCTTGGAATATTAGGATGTACTCAGTAAATTTTTGTTCTAGAATTTGAGTGTTCTTACTAAAGATAATCATGTTGCAGTAAGAATCTGCTTTAACCTCCATGACTTCAAAATCTCTAATCAAGCCTCTCTGACTCTCCTGGGGGCTGAGCTGAAGCACTCTATTTGGCTAACATCCAGCAGTGAAGATTAGCTGGGCTTATGTGCAAAGTTAGTCAAATTTACCAAAAAAAAAAAAAGAGACTGAGGAGAAAATTAACATGGAAATGTTGCTTATGATATTGGATTGTGCTTTGCTGGACTGTCAGAGTATTTTATCTCATGTGTTGTAAGTTTGTGAAGTCGTTCGAGATGGTCAAGCTGGTATTGGTAAGCTTTAAAAGCCTGTGAGCCCCTTCATATTTGTTTGTTTATAAATTGTGGAGTGGAGGATCTCACCACGAGTCTGAGCACTTCCAGCACAAACAGTAAAATGTGCTTTTGCTTTTGCGTTACTCATTTTCCTGTAATTTATACCTACTGGAGACAATTCTCCATAGATCTCTTGCATTTCCGTATGTCTTGTTAAATGACGCACTGACTTCCTGTGTCCTGGACTCTTTTCAAGGATGTTTATAGGGTGAACAGCCTTGGAAACTAGAGATCGTATCTCCCCTTCTCCTGCCCTCCCCACAACTGGACAAAGAACGAATTTGTATACAGCCTTGGAAGATAATGTCTTCTTTCCAAAGTTAAGGGCAGGCATGCTTACTGCTCATTAAAAAGATTTGTATTCTTTAAGCTCAGGATTCCTCTCCTGTAATGGAACCCACTGCAGGTGCAGGCACCCATCTGGGCCTATCCAGGTCATCTCTGTGGGACTTGAGGATAA